TAGTACTTTTTGTCTGGTAAATCTTCATTTGGAATCTCAACAAAGCGCTGCGGGGAGTGACAAACGGGCGCGGCAGCTGAATTCAGTCTTGTCGCATGTCGCGAGAGAAGCACCAGGGATATCCTTTGTCCTCGCTGGAGACTTTAATACTGGATCCGACAATGCCATCTTCAAGGTTCTTCGGGATCACGAGTGGCACGGCCATGCCATGAGTTCTGTCTACGAACATCCCAGGACCAGAAAGACTCTGCCAGCGTGTCACGCTACATATATGCAACCTGGATCCCATTATTCGATTGACCACATTCTTTACACTCATTCGTCTCTACGAATGAAATGTGTCCTGGACGCTTTGGATCCACAAGAGAAACAAGAACATGTGCTCGAAAATGGCATGGCAAGCGGGTTTCCAACGATGTTTTGTCCGTCGGATCACATTCCAATTGGAGTCATATTCGAGTTTACACCGCCCAATCTAGACAGTGATGGTGCTGCAAGGATACCGCTGAAAGAACTGATGGAAGGTCGGAAAGAAGAGCTGCGAGCCCAATGGAAGGCATTACAGGCCCAAAAACCGACTTTTACAAAGGGCAAACCCCCTCCAGAAGAGATTGAAAAACGGAGAAGATACGCAAGCGCTGTGAAAGCGTGGAAAGCTAGTGTTCCGAAGGAAAACACACAGGAGATAGACTTCATAGCTCAATTGTAAGCGCTATAAGCCAACACTACCGTAATACAATACTGTACGCTTGGATGATTCATTCTTCTGTGTTTTGCTTCCAGGTGGAAGCATTTCTTGCATCAATGACAGCATTGGTTGACGGAATGACGACAAATTTGAAGATGTTCCAAGAATCGATCTTCGACACTGTTCCAGCCCCCAAAACCACAACAATACTGCAAGATTCTGGTGTCATCATACTGTATATATAGGGTTGAATGAATTGAATCAATTGTTGGTGTCATACTGTAGTTTCCTGCATTTTCTTATAATCCAGCTCCTCGACTTTCCCAGAACAGTCATGTCAACTACTCCCAAAGAATGGACCATTGTCTACCATGGTGCTGCCAAGACCTTCAAGGGCAGAGCCGAGTTTTTGCGGTTGCTCTTGGAAGATGCTGGCGTGGACTACGCGATTACTGGCGACAACATGTATGGACCTACCGGCATTATGGATTGCTTTCGAGGATCCGCACAAGCCGTAGCGGCTGGTGATGGATCCACTCCTATTCCCAACCCAGTCTTTTTTCCTCCGGCGATTTGGCATCGACCCAAAAAGGATGGAGAAGAAGAAGAAGAAGTCATTATCAATCAAGTGGGTGCCTGCGTCATGTACATTGGTGAACAGTTGGGATATGCCCCGCAGTCTGCCAAAGAGAAAGCCTTGGCGAATATGATTACTCTGAATGCTCTTGATTACATTGCCGAAGGAAGATCCAGTTTTCATCCTGTCAAGAATAGCATGAGCTACAGCGATCAAAAAGAAGAAGGAGACAAAGCCTCGAAGGAGTTCACCAAGACTCGCATGCCCATTTGGTTGGCTCATTTTGAAAAGATGGTACGCAAACATGGCGCCAAGTCCCCTGTTGCCGGAGGTTCCAAGGTGACCTGCGCCGACTTTTGCTTGTTTCACGTGTTAGATGCCACCATTTCGCAATTCAACAATGACAAATACGACCATGCATGGGACAACCAAGACCCAAAGATTGATTTGCTCAAGGAGTACCATGCTTGGATGAAATCTCGTCCCAACTTGGTTGCATTTTTTGCATCCGATCGAGTGGCACGTAAGTTATTATTGTACTACTGTATCATATTCTTATCGTATCTTGTGATGGTTGACAGCACTGTGCGATCATTCATTTCACAATGCGTTGAGCCCAGTCAACAATGTTATGCTAGATGATTCTTCCTCACATTTTTTCTTTCATTTGATGCATCATTACATTTAGCCTACGCTGGGGACAGTATGATGTAAGGCTTCGTCTTCGCCTCTTTTGTTCGGAAGTAGTAGTAATCAGGTGGGTCCTTCTGCTGTTGCCCAGTATATTTACTTACATGGAGAATAGTCTTGGTTATGTGCTTGATAGGATTAGTAATAGAATTAGAAGTATAATGATAAGTATGATGGAAACCTACTTTCTACCTAGAATGAATGAATGAATAGAAACACGTCGAAGGGAAAAGATTCGAACCTGCTGGTGGAGACTTGCTTTTTGTTTCCACGTCTGGATGCTTCGATTTCGGAACCTCAGTTTCAAGTTTCGAACCGTTGGATTCATTTTTAGTACTGGTTTCTACGTAGAAGACTTTGGCGACTGCCAGTCGTCACACGGGATTTGAAAATGCATTGCTTCCATATTGTGGTATTCCAATGATCAATAGCAAATCAACCCCGTGCTTCTCATACCTGTAATTCAAGTAAATAACAGTAAAACCATGACAGCAGAATCCTCCGATACTGCAGAGACTACTGGCACTGCTTCCACTTCAGCCCGTCCAGGTAAAGCCGGACGCATCGATTACGACAAGTGGCACAAAGTCACCAACGAGTTGGTCCACGAAACGGAACAAGAAGAGGAACGAGAAACTGAAGCTCAAAAGAAAGCCCTGGGATTGGACGGAAAGTATGCCAATTCCAAGGCCGAAGCGGATGAACGTCAAAAGGCCAAGGAAGTCAAACAAGCCAAAAAGATCCTGGAGAATTACACAAAGCGAGAAACTGCCGTCAGGTCGGTTTTGAAGGGACTCGTGGGACCCGTGCGAAAGAACGACGACGACGCTACCAATGAAGAAACCAAGTCTCCCGAGCCCCAAATTGTGCGCATTACCCGGGACATGATTGATGCTGGAAAGCGTGTGGTTTCGATAACAGACACTTCTGGTCAATCCATCCAAGACACCATTGTCATGACGTCGGACCTCAGTTTGTTGGAATCCAAAATGAAGGCCAACGCTATGAAGCCAAAGACCTACGCGGAGGATGTTGAAAATGACGTTGTGGAAGACGAAGAGACAGAAGAAACTCGTAGTGTATTTGGGGCCATTAAGGGATTCATCTCCAATGTTCATCACTGTACCATCTTGGTCAAGTGTAAAATCATTTCGGGAACCATTGAAATGAGTCACTGCTCCAATGTTCGATTGGTCATTGAAAAGGATGCCACTGTTGCTACCCTTCAAGTGGATCTCTGTCAAGACATCGAAGTGGAATTCCATGACGCACCATCCGGCAAGAATCCTGCCTATGGTCCCAAGGTCTACTGGGGCGAAGATAAGGAAGATCGTATCTTTCACGCTGGCGTCAAGAACATGAAGGTCCAAATCAAACGAGATGGATTTATTGAAACCGAACGTCTCTGTGATTTTCGGAAAGATGGAGCCAAAAAGATTGGAAATGCTTCGGAAGAAGAATTTCAGTTTGTCACCTCGGTCGTGGAGGAAGAACTGGTCACCGAAGCCATTATCCGTGATGGAGCCACTACGGGAGACAACGCTCGTGCCATGACGCAACGAGAACTTGATGCTGAAAAGGAAAGGAGAGAAAAGGCCGCCAAGGTTGCTGTTGGCATGGCGGAAAATATGATCAAATTCAAGGAAAAGGATGGAGCCAAACCCAAGGTTATCAAGGACACTTCTGCCACTGCTGCTGCAACACCAGATCCCAAGGTTGAGGAGGAAGAAGCGGTAGAAGAAGTCTATGGATCCATGGACAAAGACCAAATCGATGCTATTGTATTTGAATGCAACAAAAACAAGGCTCGGGGAAACGAAGCTTTTGGAGCGGGAGAATACGCCCAAGCCATTCTTCTGTACAGCTTGGCCCTGGACAAGGCCGATGAACTTCCCGATGCAGGAATCCCTGGAGCGAAACAACTATTTCCACGCGACGTTACTCTTTCCAATCGAGCAGCCTGCTTTTTGAAACTGGGGGAACACGAAAAGGCGGAAGCCGATGCCACCAAGGCAGCTGAAATCAATCCAAAAAATGTCAAGGCGCTCTTCCGAAAAGGACTGGCACTGCATGCCATGAAGCAATTCATGGAGGCAATCCCAGTATTGGCGGAAGCACACAAGATGGAGCCCAAGAATAAGCAAATCAAGGAAGCCTTGCAATTTGCCGAAGTGCGAATGACACAAGAGCAACGAAAGAGAATGGAGTCGTAATCCAAAATGGCAGATGGCGAAACAAATTTTAATTTTAAAAAGAAAGAAAAGTTGTATGCTTCAATCACGTCTAAGGGGTCGATATAGATATTGTAGCCATCCGTTCACTGGCGCTTGCTTGAAAATATGCCACAAGTTTGGGGATCAAGGACAACAGCAAGTCTTGTGCTTCTGCCGAGGGATTTTCAGCTAGAAGCATCAATGGAGACAAGCCAATCTTATCTTGTTCAAACAGCAACCCAAGGTTGAGGCTGTCCAGGCGCTCATGGAATAGATTGTGGCGGGGAAAACTCGAAGATGCCATGATATGAAAGAGATTGATATCGGTGGTTCCTGTGACAAATTTCGTTTTAGGCAATATACCTTCTTGTTCTCGATGATACATTTGTATCGTTTTATCTAATTTTGCAATCTCGATATTGTCGTCATGATCATGGCGAGCAGTAGTGTAGGTAGTCCTGTGATTTTGAAGACTGTCAAATCTATCGGCGGCCATTTTTAAGACTGTTTTGTTCTGATTCCTCCTAGAATCATCATCGATAGCAGGGCGGTCAAAGGCTTCAGCCAGCAAATGAAACCGATTGTAATGTCGCTTGTAGGTTGAATACGATACTACGATCCAAATCAGATTCGAGCAGCCCTTGAAAATGTCGTCCCCAATCCATAGGTGCGAACCATTCTTGAATTCAACGGAATATAACATTGTGCAATTCTCAAAGGCCCTGGAGCTGATGCGTTCGACTGAATTGGGAATAGGAACCGCTCGGAGATTCTCACAGTGAGCAAAGGCTTCTTCGTCAATAGTCTTTAATCTATAGTCCAAGCCAATAATCTCAACGTTTTCAAGGGTGGTACAAGATGCAAATGCCCTAGTACCAATACGCTCGACTGACCAGGGAATCGGTATTGTTTGAAGTTTTTCGCAGTGGCAAAAGGCCTCGTCGGAAATGCTTTTCAAGCCCTCATTCAATATCGTAATCTCAAGATTGGTGCAAGATTTGAATGCTTTCTTCATCAAATGCTCGACCGTATTCGGAAGGCTGATCTGGCGGAGACTCGAACACCCTTCAAAGCAAGCCTCTGAAACGCTGCGAATTCCCTCTATAATTGAGACTTCGGTCAAGCTGCTAGCGTTCTTGAAACACTGAAAGCCTAGCCCAAACTTCCTTCGTGTCGTGATGGCTTGCGGCTGATGATTCATCATTGCATTCTTGTTGTTGTTCTTGTTGCTATCCATTGTTACGACTTGCAACCTTGGACACTGTTGAAATGCCATGAAACCAACGAGCCGAACAGTGGGTGACAGTTCCACCAATTCCAGGCTACCACAATCATAGAATGCGCTAGCCCCAATTCCTCGACAGACACTGTTTGGCTGAAATCGAACCTCTCGCAAGCATTGGTTTCCAGCACACAACGAACTTGGAATATCCAGCACGTTGGATGCAATCAGTAAATGACTGACATTCGGAGGTGCGTATCTGTCACCGCCTGCGAAGAAATACCATTGATTCTCAGACATATTGTTAGAATAAGGAGTCTTGTCCAGTTTTTATTGTAGCATGGGCACAGTGGCGCTATGGCACGGAGTGTCAGATGTGTTTGTGAGGTTTGATATATATGATACTGTATAGCAGGATCAAAAGAATTTGAAGAGGATATTATTTCTCATCTGGGTACACTACAAGTCAAAATCTGTCGCTTTTATTTGTCGCGCGCGCAATCCTGCACGCCCCCCGAACGGTTATTTTCTGTCAACCGGTTCACACGGTTGTCAAACGAAAAAGAAACAGACCGTTGCTTCGTTTGCACCGTGGGTTTCATAAATTCGTGCTCATGACCACTTTATCTATCATTGATCTCAATCAACCCACAAGCTTTCCTCCAAAGCAAAACACAATGAAAGGCACCAACAAGAGCAACGCTAGCGTCACAACTACTACGCTCAAAAGAGCACCGTCGGGCAACAAGGAAAACAACACACGAGCTGAGGGAGCCGTCAAACCCAACGGTGCTGTCAAAGCTCGGGGTCTAGCCATTCGAGATCCTACAACAATCACGAAAGAATCATGTCAGCCAGATTCAAGAGAGGATGACGATCCTCAAAGCAGCCAAAAGACTGTTCCTCGTCCAAAAGGGCATGAAAGGGAGAACGAGGAGACGCTTGCGACCGAGGAGTCGCAGCAGGGTTTTCCTTGTCAGCAGCCTTCAGATACCGCAGCTATGATGCAAAAATTCTTGGACCAAATGGCGTATATGTCTGGACAAATCAATACGCTTTCAACAGCGAATGGGTCTATGTCTCGACAAATCAATACGCTTTCAACAGCGAATGGGTCCATGTCCGCAGAAATGGCGTCTATGTCTAGACAAATCAATACGCTCTTAGCAACGAATGCATCCAAGTCTGCAGAAGCCTCTCATTCTCGTCGGGTGGCCGCTGAAATGCAAAGCCAGATGCAGGCACAAGCTTTTCAACTCGAAGCACAAGCTTTTCAACTCGAAGCACAAGCCACTAAAATCGATACACAAGCCTTTCAACTCGAAGCACGAGCCTTTCAACTCGAAGCACAAGCCTCTGAAATTGCTGATTTAAAACCAAAAGTCCAAAACCTAATGGAATTTCAAAGCTTGATTACCAAGCGGGAGATCGCGTTAAAGGTTGCTGAAGTCATAGTTCGAAGCTTGAAGTCAAAGTATCCCGCATTGCGAGGATATTTGCTTAGAAATTGTGTCGATTTCTTGAATGAAGAAGGAAACTGGGATCAGGTCAAACTGAGTGATAATGGACAAAAGTCTGGATTCTCACTGGAGAACATTTCCAATTATCACCACGTAATCAGTGGTATCCAACAGGATCGAAACGAAATCGCCCACCAACAAATGCGATGAACGAAATTTTTGCATCCTTGAGAAAAGCCGCACCGGAGGGAAGCCACTACGGCGTGGATTTTGAGTTTGACAAAATCAGAAAACAGATTGTGGTTTCGCCACAATATCACCAAGAGCAGATGTTCCATTTTGACTCCTATTACTGAACACATACTTCGGAGATTCTTTTCATTCCTTGTGTGCACCAAACAGCCTAGTCATCGCGACGCGTACTGTTGAACTCGCTGTACACTTGTACAAGCAAATTTCACAAAACGAATCAATAATATTACTACTGTACTGTACTTTTATAAGAATTGGCAACCGTTTTACAACATTGCCACCTCCTCCTTTTACACCAGCTTTTTCATGTTTCACCTTTCACTTGTCAGCAGGTCGACGCACATTCGGTATTGAATCAGAGAATGTTTGTTCGGAAGATCAAGCTGTTGTCTCTGTTTCAATTATAATTGCGTCTGGACACTAGGCTTCTTCGTACCTGCGCTTGGTTCCACTTTTTGCTTCGTCTTCTTCTTCTTCTTCTTCTGAAACGTTAGCCCTGTAGCAAAAACCCATTCTTGAACCAACAGCTGTCGCTTCCCTGCTCCCGTTCACATAATCCACAGCAAGAGTGCTCTTATCTTGTTGCACTGTGATGCGTCCAATTGTCATATCATCGGTTGATATGACGACACGGTCTATTAGGTCGACATCTGGAATGTTTTCATTTGTTGGCAATCGTAATATTTCATCTCCTCGCACAATATAAGTCTGGTACATCTCAGGGCACGGCGGCTGCTTGTCAAATACTATGCAGTTGCACTCTTCCGGCGACTCGCCAAACCTTGCAAAGCTTCCTCCAAGAAAAAATATGCCCCTACTTTCTTCAAAATGCGTAATAGAACGTTATAACATCGCCAACCTCAAAACTCTTGCAGGAATATAAAGTCGGACGCGCCCATTGACTGGATTAATGTTTATGCTTCGTAGAATAGCTGAAAACTTCTCTTGGCAATCAATTCGTTTCGCATATAGTTGATAACTACGGTGAACATATTGAACTACACCATTTTTGTCGACAGTAGTATCGAATCTTGGATTCCAATAAAGCAGATGTGTTTGTGAGTTCAATAGGTACCCGTGCAGAGTCAAGAGAAAAATCCAGTGCTTTCATGCTAAACTTCTTCCTCGACGTAACTCCTGGCACAGTTTTCTAGTCCTAAACAATACACTTTGTGATACCAGTACTCTCTGAACCAATACTGCGGTGAACGACTCTCTTCCATTTCAAAAATGACATTCAATGTATGCTCTCACTTTATTTTATTATAATGACACATTGCAATGCGATCTTTCAAATCTTTCCCCTATTGTTTCACTCAAAATTCCTACCCCTTGTTCCGTCCTTCGGTCCACGGACCTACAGAAATGAATGGCCTGCCTGTCCTTCCAGTCTTCGACATGCTTGGCTTGGTCAGTCCAACGAAAAAAGTTGACTTCTCAAATTCTGCAAACGAATAACCCATCACCCATCACTTCGAAAACATCAAAACATATATACCGGTATATCTCCATTCAAACCTACAGTAGTGATAGATTGGTGTCTACATTTAAAAGACTGTCAATTGAAACAGAATCATGAGCAGAATACGTTCAACATTCAATACAACCACAAGGCACAACAGAAATGCACAACAATTTCGAAGTGGGTGTCTTCTTTTGTTGTTGTCGATGGGAGCTTCGATGAGTGCAGCCTTTGTTCTGCCACACACGCAACAACAACAACAGGTTAGATCAACAATTGGATCCAATCCCATCACTACCTTTGCTGCTTCTGTGGAAGACAAACTGGAAGTCTTTGATGCCGACAAGGAGGAGGCCATTCAACAACAAAAGAACTTGATGAAAAAACGACGAGAAGAGCAAAAATATCAACCCAAGGACGCTCAAGAATGGAAATTCTTTGATACAGCCCGGGTTCACGTCAGTGGAGGAGATGGAGGAAATGGCTGTGTCAGTTTTCGACGTGAAAAGGGAGAAGCCATGGGAGGACCAAACGGTGGTCGAGGTGGCCGTGGGGGTTCCGTCTACCTCATTTGCGACAAGAGCATCAACACCTTGGCCCCCTTAAGGTATAGAGTCCACGTTCGAGCTACTAAGGGTCGCAATGGACTAGGAAAGGGTAAAGATGGTCAAAAGGGAAAGGATATTGCCATTAAGGTGCCTCCAGGTACTGTCATTCGTGAACTCCGAACCCAAAAGTTGGCCGGCGAATTGAAAGAGGACGGCGAACGATTCCTAGTAGCCCGAGGTGGACGAGGAGGTAGAGGCAATGCTGCCTTTATGACTCAGCGCAACACTGCCCCCAAGATTGCGGAACGGGGAGAACCCGGTGCCAAGTCTTGGTTGTCGGTGGAATTGCGATTGGTTGCCGATGTTGGTTTTTTGGGAAAACCCAATGCCGGAAAGTCGACACTATTGGCATCCTCCAGCAATAACAAACCAAAGATTGCGGACTACCCTTTCACGACGATTGTTCCCAACTTGGGAATATGCAACATTGGAGAAGAAGGTGCCGGGCTCGTTCTCTGTGATATTCCTGGACTGATTGAAGGTGCTGCGGGAGGAGCTGGATTGGGGCCTGCCTTTTTGCGTCACGTCCAACGATGCAAGGTCCTATTGCACGTCGTAGATGGCTCCTCCGAAGATCCTATTGGAGACTTTAACACCATCAACAATGAACTGAAAATGTACGACGAATTTCTGGCCCAAAAGCCACAAGTAGTTGTGTTGAACAAGATTGATCTGCCTGACGTTCAAGACAAGCAAGAAGACTTGTTGGAGCAATTGCGAGAGGCTGCTGGTCATTCTCGTGTCTTGCCCATTTCGGCTGCCACCACGGAACGTGTGAAAGAACTGATGGGACGTTTGAAAAAGTTTGCCGAAGCCCAACCCGTCATTGACTTGCCCCCCATTCCCGAGATTGATTTGGGCAAGGCCGGTTTGGACTTTGACAGTGATGACTACGAAATCCTAAGTGATCCATCGTACCCAGGCCAGTGGAGGATCAGTGGGGAGTACATTGAACAGATTGCCAAGATGACGCATTGGGAATATCCCGAAGCGGTTGCCCGATTTGGTCGACAATTGGATGCCGTGGGCATTGCCAAGGAATTGCAAGCCCGAGGTGCTCAGGATGGAGATTTGGTCATGGTGGACGAGTATGATTTTGAGTTCAATCCCAATCTTACCAATCCTTATATCCCCCAAGACTTGTTGGACCGTGAAGCCATGTTTGACGGCAGCAAGTCGAAAGGTGACGATGAGGACGAAGCGATTGCCTGGAGACCATACCAACAGGGTGGATTCTTGGATGAAGATGTGGGCGAGTTGGTTGGATTCACAGAAGCAGAAGAGTGGGATATGTTGGATGAAGATTTTGAGTTTGATGAAGACAGTGCCGACTTTGACTTTGGAGAGGACGAGGTGTGGATGTCACAATAAATACAAATATTTTTTAATATTACTAGTCTGTGTTACTTTCAAATCATCATGTCCTTTAGCTCAGTTTATCTTATTTTATGATCATGGTATGCCGTATCATCCCTTTACCTTTAGGCGTTGCTCCAATATTTCTAGCTCGTGTAAGGAACAATGTGACATCCAATCAATCCTCTGCCACTCCATGGCTTTGGTGTTAGCGACAAGACGACCGTATCCCAATCGTCCGGTGCCGCGTCTGGCTTTCGTCGCTTGACGGATATCGAGATGCTTCCTCCCTCTCCTGCCACGTCCGGTACCAAGGCCGAAATGGCCTTCAAGTGATTGTGATTTTCAAGATTGATATCTGCAAATTTGAAAATCAAATCGTCCTCCAGCAGTCCGGCATCTTGGGCGGGAGATTCTTGGGCCACGGCATTGACACGAGCAAAGGGGACTTCCAAAGGCGAGGCGGCTACTGGAGCGGGAACGACCAATGGTAAATCTTGTGTAGAATCATCTCGCCGTGAGCTATTCATCAATGAGTCTTCGGTCAGCTGAGAAACTTGTTTGGACAAATTTTGAAAGTTTCGTTTCTCTCCTCCTGGAACTCCCGCCACGGTGCCATCCCAATTCATGACCACCCATTTGCCAGTGATGGGATCAAGCTTTGGCTTTGGTTTTTTCGTGGTCCGTGCCGCCATTTCGTCCTGCTGCTGTTTTTTGAGTTGCGGGTTCTTCAAGATGGCCAAATGACGCAGCATGGCATCAATCTTTTGCGAAATTGCCTTGTGATCGGTCTTGAGCACGTGGAATCGTTGTCGGAGTGTACGAGCTCGATAGACATCCACGTCTCCTCGCGGATATCCCTCGTGATCGACCAAGGGCGTGTCAATCCCCATGGGTTCCACACCTTCGGATGGGGGTGTCGTGAGTTCGGAAACAATGGCATCGGCTTCTAGTTCCATTGATTTCTTTTGGACGTCCAATGTTGCTAGGGAATGGCGAAGGGCCTTTTCTTCTTCGTTAGCTTGTTGTTGTTGTTGTTGTTGCTGTTGTTGCTGTTGTTCTGTCATGTTGTTTGGATATGTTTTTGTGTCGTGTTATTGAGTTTTGTTGTGTTATTGTGTCGTGTCGTGTTGTTTTATATATTTGAATGAATGAATGCAATCAATCAATCAATCAATCAATCGTTGGCGATCGGGAAGCAGGTGAACAGTGTCAGCTGATTCGTTTTCGTGCACAGTACGATGGTTCTTTTCTTTCGTGCCTTCTGCTACCTAGCTAGTACTGTACTGTGGCGATGGAACTGGTGGTGTCACGACGAGAACTTTGACGGAGTAGAATAACTGCCAGATGATTCGCATCAGTGTTTTTTATGGTTTCAATAATGTAGGTACTTTGAACTTGTACGAATGAATGGTTTTGTGACACCTGATTGGAAGCATTTCGAAGGCAGGGGATGGAATACATTTGATTCATTTGACTTGATTGACCCACCCGATCAGTCAGTTTGCCTCAAGAAGTCTCATTTTGTTGATTTTCAAGATATGATATTTCAATTATTGAGACTGCATGTCATCGCATGCAAAGCGCTATCTTATTGGGTCCCATCATCAATGAGAATATTGTTGTTAAAGACAGCAGTATCATCAATAATACCCAAAATAACATCACAAGCCACATACAAAGCAGTATCATTACCATGTCTTCTTCTCCTTCTTCCGTTCAATTGACCATTCGTCACGGATCCATCTTGGAAT